ATCACTCGATCCGACACGAGGGTTTCAAATAGTAATTTTAATGGTATTTAATAAAGTCATTTAAATTTAAGTGTAAAATATCACTCGATCCGTTTCGAGGGTTTCAAAAAGTGATTTCAGTGGTACCTAATTAAGTAAACGAAATTTAAGTTTAAACTATCACTCTATCCGACACGAGGGTTTCAAAAAGTAATTTTAATGGTACTTAATTAAGTAAACGAAATTTAAGTTTTAAATGTCACTCGATCCGACACGAGGGTTTCAAGTAGTAATTTTAATGGTTCATAATTAAATAATCGAAATTTAAGTTTAAAATATCTCTCGATCTGATTCGAGGGTTTCAAAAAGTGATTTTACTGGTATCTAATTATGTAAACGAAATTTAAGTTGAAACTATCACTCGATCCTATTGGAGGGATTCAAAAAGTAATTTTAAAGGTACATAATTAAATAAACGAAATTTAAGTTTAAAATGTCACTCGATCCGACACGAGGGTTTCTTAATAGTAATTTTAATAGTACATAATTAAATAATCGAAATTTAAGTTTAAATTATCACTCGATCCGATTCGAGGGTTTCTTAATAGTAATTTTAGTAGTACATAATTAAATAAGCGAAATTTAAGTTTAAAATATCACTCATTCCGCTTCGAGGGTTTCAGAAACTAATTTTAAATATACCTAATTTAATAATTGGAATTTATGTTTAAAATATCACTCGATCCGATTGGAGGGTTTCAAAAAGTAATTTTAATGGTACCTAATTAAGTAAACGAAATTTAAATTTAACTGTTTTAGACTACACTAAAAAAAAATTCCAGTCAGAATTACAAGAATTCTGGTTATTCCAACTAGAATTCTGGTTAGGGTATATTTAACATTTTGATTCTGGTTTGGTTAACCAGAATTCTAGTTAATGCAACTAGAATTGTGGTTAACTTAACGAGAAAGTAATGTTAAATATAGCCTAACCAGAATTTCTTTTGCAGTGTATCAATGAAAATTAATAACTATTTGTTAACAATTAAAATATTTACTGACAGCATGCTTCAGGTACGCAAAAAATAACACTTCCCTGGACGAGAAACAAGAAGCAACTTTGGAGTCAAAAACAACTTTTTGACGAGTATTATTTTCATATGTGAAGGTACATGCGCACGAGTGGCTGCCTGCCTACGCAGGCAGGCAGCCGATCGTTCACACATCGTTTTTTCGGCTGCCTGCAGCCGGAAAATTGGCGGAAGATTTAAATGTGAGTAATATTGTATTTTTATTTTTTAATGTCAATTATTGATAAAAATGAGTAAAAATAAGAGCAAAAGTATCGCAAAATTAATATTTTAAAATCAAATGATTAATGGTTAATTAATATAGTGAAAAAATTAATTGTGTTTTAGTATATGTATAATAAGGTATTCTAACCTACAAAAGTGTTCGTCAGATGCAAGTTGCCTTTTGCAGTGTTCGCCACGTGCTCAACAAGATTTTTTTCAAACAAATTGAAACAAATGTGTTTCTAGTGACTTGTGCTTATTGTTTTGTAGTAAGTATTTATTGATTTTATTCTAACCTACAAAAGTGTTGCTGAAAATGGTTTTGACAAAATAGTTATTGTAAGTAATAAAAATTTTAGTAAAAGCACTTTATAAAAAATAAAATTTCATGTCAATTCCCATTGTACATTTTTGTAATGTGGATCCAAAGATATTTTTGTTATTGTAAAGAATGAAGTGACCTGTCAATTTTTTTCATTAAGTAAATAAGAAAACCTATAATGTATCACAATTATTTTGCCACTTTCCCCTAGCTATATATTTTTCGAAATTGGCGAAATAATTTATTCCATTGTTACGTATGAATTTCGTAACTTCTTATTAATAAATTATTAACATTATTAATAATTCATTAATACAATACTTAAAAAAAGGGACACAATATGCAACTCAAACAAATAACACTTTATAAAAGTTATAAGAAATGCCTTTAGAATCTCTTAGCGATGTCCAAATAATTATATATTAAATATTAACTTTCAATTAATAACCTGAATTGTAAAGAAGACCTATTTAAAATTCATGATAAAATTGAGAAACTAAGTGAACTAAATTAATTCAAGAAACAAAGGATGGCGCATAAAGATTGCTGCATCCAAAGTATGTCAGTACAAAATGAACTGGAATACTACCCCAATATTGCAAGGTTGCAATAAAAACATTGACATCAATAAATTTGTTAAATAAAATATACTTTTCCCCACCAAAAGTCAACTTAATAAAATCAGTTGACACACGAAGATCGAGGTCTTCCAAGTGTGGTCTCCGAGTGAGACAGGTGGAACAACCCCTTAGACCAGGGTTGTTTAAGTCAGTAAAGAGTGAGCTCAGAGTGGAGCTTGGAGTTTTTGAGAGTTTTGAGTTGGAGTTTGAGTCTCTGAGTTGAGAGACTTTTGAAACAAACCTCTAGTTCGAGATTGTTTCTGTTTTGAGTTTATTATTGAGTTTTATCTGAGTTTTGATTTTTGAGTTGAGATTATTTAAAGTATTTATTTTTGAGTTGAGATTTTTGACAAGTAGAGTATTTAATATTGAATTGTGATTTGATTTAAGAATATTGAGTTTTACAAAGAATTGATAATTGAAGTAGTTCAATAAAGAGAATCTGATTTTTTGAGTTTGATTTAAAGAGTATATAAATGAGTTTCTTTTGAGATCACTTAGTTTTGAGATTAAGATTGAAAATAAATAGTAATTGAGTTTATGTTTTCTATTGAGTTTTGTTTACCATTAATTGATTGAGATAAAGAGAATATTAAATAATTGTAATAAATTGGAGAATCGAAATAACGTTTGAATTGAGACACGCGGAATTCCAAAGGTAAATATACGTAAGAGTTCAGAGACTCTTGACACAATACACACACAACATTATTACACATACATACATTCACACGTAAATTGTATTAGAATACAGAATACTATAATATTGTATTATTTGAGCTATTACACAATATATATTTATATACAATTAATTAAATATTTGTTTGATCTTTTATTTAAATTATTCCTAACCAATTGTTCTGATTAATATGGATTCTCAACCAACTCACTGAATAATAGTGAGGTAAGGAAGGGATCCACTACCTTTTACAATATAATTTGTCCGAAGGGCAACGTGTGTTAAAGTACCAAAGTCTTTTAGAGTTTTAGAAAATATCAATCTTTGATTGATATTGAATAGTTTTCTAATATTCAAAATTCATCTTTAACATCCATTTATTTCTTAAGGAAACTTTAAATAAATTTGTAAATATTTTGTTATTCACTTTTATGAAAGCTGATAATATTTTAACATTTTGTGATTTTTTTCAGCTAAGGCATAGATCACAATTTTATATAACTTTCATAAATAATAAATTTATATGCAGTTCTTAAAAAAAAGGTAAAGGAGAGATGGCAGACTTTCAGTATGAGGGAGTAAGTTCAACTACAATCATATGAAGAAGTTAATACGAATTGTTTGTTCATAACAATATCTCTGTAAATTTCAGATTTTGTCTACAGTATATTGCGGATTGTGTACGGCCGCTTTTCAAATTGACAACATTGGACAGCATGAATGCTTTTTAGGAGCCCAAGACCTAGAACTCGAACTCCGGGGCAATGTTGTACATTTTGAAGGAAATTTGAACGTAAGATTTTGAAAATACCTATTTATTAATTCCTGCTTTAACATTTACTACATTGTTAATAATAAACATGATAAGATTCATAATAATAAGTAAATTCTTATTCTACATATAAATTTTTTTTTAATAATTTAATACCGTTTAATAATTTGAGTTTCTAATGTCATAAAATAATGAACCAAATCAACCAAGAAGTAGCGAATTGGGGCCTACTGTAATCGACTTGGATTCAAGTGGAGTTGCTACAACATCGGACAATAACCTCATCCAGCTGGCTGATTTAGTAAGAGAGAAACCTTCTTTATGGGATGCTAGGTTACCCTTAAGAGACAGAAGTCAACCAATAATGGCAGATGATTGGAAAAAAATTGCCAAGTACTTTAAAGGTAATTTTGTCAAAAGTAATAGAAAAAGATTAAATTTCTACAAATCCTGTAAAAATATAGTCCCGGCTGTTTATAAATTTAGAGAATATTAATACTTTATTAGGATTATCACAAAAATTTGATTTTGTTTTTCCAGACAGAATTTTATTTTTTCCCTGATCTTGATTTTCAGTTTAGTTAAAAAAAATAATAATTTTGATGTAAAAAGGCGAATTAAAATGTTTAGAGTACTCACCTGCTTTAAAAAAATTTATGGTTTTCAAGGTTCAAGATAAATTTTTTAAAGAATTAATATTTCCATTAAAATTGATTAGATACACAGAAATAAATGCTTGCATGTTATATTGTATTTATTGGTGAATATATTCAATTGTGACACTGTAAAATTCAATTATTTTCAAAATTTTCAATTAAAATTCTTTAAAAACTCGATTACTTTCAACAATTTTAATAAAACTCTTTAAGATATTCAATTCATTTCAAAACAATTTTAGGAAATTCGAATCATTTAAAAATTGTTCAATTTATTATTTTCGAAAATTTTATTATCTTAAAAAATTAAATTAAAATTTTGAAGAATTCTAAATTTTTTAAATACCTATTTAAATAAAATTCTTCAAAACTTCACTTATTTTTAGATGCAATGTGATATTTTTGGTAATGCTCTTAATCCTAAAAAATGGATGAATATCTTTAATTGTGGCTTTTCGTAAAATTCAATTAATTAACAATTTTTAAAATAAAATTTTTTCAAAAATTCGATTATTTTCAAAAAATTAGAAATTTTCAGAAACTACTTGACTATTTCTCTAATTTTATGAAAAAAAAGGTACTGTGATACTTGATCTCAATTTTTTATGCAGGTTGGAGTATGGAAATGACGAGGAAAAGATTTCAAAATTTAAAAACGTCATATTATAGGAAAAAAAATGCCAGCAAGTGGTTCTGAGGGAGTTATTCAAAAACCCTGGTCTCTGCAGCCGCATTTGTCCTTTTTAGATGACTCCAAAGCTGAGGATACTAGATTGTGCGTATTGTAAAATTGTGCAAAAATATAAAATTTTATGTGATTATATGTAAAAATGATATATTTTATTTTAATAATGCAGTACTACGTCCAATGTACCTCCGCTGCCTCGAAGAAGGCAAGTACAAGATGTAGTTGAAGATTCTTCACAAGAATTCTTCTCTTGTGATGAAGATGGAGAAGCATCATCAAGCAAGGAGAATAAAGAAAATTTTGGTTTTACTGTCAAAAGGAATCCAGGTAATTCTGTACATTTTATTTATTCCTTAATTTATCACCTACTTCACCTATTTTCCAAATGTAACACATTTCTTTATTTAAGCTTAAATTATAAAAAATTGCAGTTTAACTATAAATTTTCTTCATTCAAATGTTCAACGATATAAATTTCAATTAATTCTACTTTTCATCTGCTTCAAATGTAGTTGATTTAAATATTTAAATTTATCAATTATTCTTTTCATAGGTCTTAAATTTTATTGTTAAAAATCCTAATATAAACCATTTCTTCATTTAATTTATTAGTATTTTAAACGGTATAAATTTGCAATTTATTTAATTTTTATGAACCACAAATTTAATCGTCTTAAAGTACAATTTGTCTACTTTTTAAATGATTCATTTATCAATTAATACTAACTTCAATTAACTATAATAATCTTGGTATTCATTCATTCATTCATTCCGTCCGGACCCCTGCTGGGTTTTCGGTGACAGAGAAAAGAACAAGTTATGGAGAGAAAAAGGTATATCTTTATTTTGCAAATGAGGGTTAGCTTGACCTGCAATCTGTTAAGAAGGATTAATTAATAACTCTGAGGACCCAGGTAATTATTTCTTTCTCCCTTTATCACGTGAAAAAGCTATAAAGAAAGTGTAAAACTGAATAGGTAACGCATACCTTTCTTTCTTACACCAAGAAATATATCATAAGTACTTCTTTGTTTAACATTGCGTTTCTCTATCTAGACGATTGAAAATGGCATAAGAACATCATCGTCTAAAATCTTAATCTTCTTCCATTTTTGTTTTAAAAATAAAAAAAAATCGGACAAGTGCGAGTTACACTCGCATTAAAACCGAGGGTTCCGTACCCCTAATCCTTAAATTTGAGGGGTTTAAAGTGTGAAGGCCGATGGAAAAATTCAAATTTTGTTTAATTTTGAGCATGGAAATACATTTCATAAGTTTTTAAAATTTTTTTAATTTTTTTTATCATTTAATATTTTCAATTTTATGATTTTTTTAGATTTCACCAAGTAATAAAAATATCAACAAATAAAAAATGTCAAAATATAAAAAAAATAGCAAATGATAAAAAAAAGAAAATGGCAAAAATGGCAAATTATAAAGAATGGCAAAACACTACAAAAAAATATAGCAAGCACAATTGGAGTTCTCGCTATATTTTTTTGTAATCTACACGCAAAAATACGTAAAAGTGTATAAATTTGAAACTCTTTAGATAAAATATTCTTTGTTTTTTGGGGAAAAATCATGATTTTTATCGAAAATTATCAGTTTTTCCTTGAAAACACTATGATAATTAACTCCAATCGTTCTCGCTATATTTTTTTTGTAATCTACACGTAAAAATACGTAAAAAAGTATAAATTTGGATCCCTTAGGATAAAATTTTCTTCTTTTTTTATTGGAAAAATCCATGATTTTTTCTAAAAAAATGAGTTTTCCTTAAAAACAATATGAACATCAACTCCAATTGTGCTCGCTATATTTTTCATGTAATCTACACGCAAAAATACGTAAATATACCAAATATGAACTGCCTTTGTCAAATATTGTGTGCGCTAGGAGGATTAATCGCTTTTCTTCAAAATTTTTGATTTTTCCTTGACAACGCTATGTAAATTAATCCGAATCATGTTCGCTATATTTTTCCTGTAATTTTCACGTAAAAATACATAAGTGTACCAAATTTGAGCTCTCTATGTAAAATGATGTGGCAACCAGGGGGGGGGTACATAGTCATTTTTTGGGATTTTTCGTAAAAAATCATGGTTTTTCCTTGACAACGCTATGATAATGAATTCCTATGAGATTCGCTATATTTTTCTTGTAATCTACACGCCAAAATACATATGTATACCAAATTTCAGCCCTCTAGATAAATTTGTGTGGCCGCTAGGGGGGGGGGTACATGCCTTGCTTCACTAGTCTCATTAATAGGGTTCCCCCTTCGGGTACGAAACCCTAAAAAAATATTCATTTATATGTATATATGTATGTAGAAGAGAGTGACAAACAGTGGGACACTTTTTTTCAAAGAGATATTAATATGTCAATTTTATATATTTTTGGACACTTTTTGGTACTACCATAAAATTTCAAGTTTTTGGAACTTGATACATTTTTCTTGTTTTTAAGGTTTGTGTTAAACAGTGGGACACCTATTATTAATTATTAAATAATGAATAATTGTTTCAATAATAATATTCTGCTTCATACTTTGTAAATATATATGTTTTGCATTAAATAACGTTAACAAATGTTTCAAAACACTCATAATTTAATAATATTTTAAATTTTTATAATTTTTTATTACATTTCATTATGTACTCCGAGTTAATCTTCATTAACAAAGGTTCTATTGGCCAAGGGTTGGTACATCTTTATTTTTGTATATGATACACGGAGAGAAAAAGCATGCGTTTTTAGTATGAAAGTGATTCATACTAGGATAGTATGAACCGTTCCTACGCTTAATGTAAGAATTCATGCGTTTCTAGTATGAGAGTATTGCATAGTTTAACTGTATGCCGTACATAGTCCAGTTGTATGAGCTTCATACTCTCTCGGTGTGATAGCTATACAACTGACGATTAAGCCACGCCTTCTTTCAGCTTGCTCATTTCCTATCGAGAGAGTATCTTGTGAATTTGTTCCTGATCCCCGCATAATTTATTATTATAAATTATTGTTATAATAATAATAATTATTATTATTATAAATTATTGTTATAATAATAATTATTATTATTATAAATTTGTGAAAATATATTATTTGCTGAAGTGACAAATTAAAAAAATAAAGAAGTGTTTCCTGCTACATTTTTTTTAATGTAAGTATACAGAAATAATAAAAAAAAAATTTTTTAATTAAAAATTATTAAAAAATTATAAATTATTTTTTAAATTAAAAATTAAAAAAAATAAAAATATAAAATTACGGAAAAACTAAACTTTGACTGGGTGGATTACAACTAATCTGACGCTTGCCGGGTTAAAAAATTAAAAAAAAGTTTATTTATTTAAAAAAAATTTTGTTTAATTAAATAACATTTCTTCAATATTTATTTTGTTCTTTAACATTAAACAAATTATATCAAATATAAATTTAAGAATCTATTTATCAAATAATTCTTTTACATTTATTAATAATTTTTATAATTTCATAAATTTTAATAACAATACATAACATATTCATCTTAACTTCATCTTTGAAATATAATAAAAAATTATTTAAATAAATCAAAACTGAGCAAAGAATTGAAAGCGGGCAGGTGATTCAGAAATATGCAAACTGAAAGTGGGCGTGGCTTAATAGTCTGTTCTATGAGTATCATACCGAGAGAGTATGAAGCTCATACAATCGTAGTATGTTTGTATTACATACGTTTGGCGTATGGACTTCTTACTGCGAAACTATGAATGTCATACAGTATTCGCATGAGAAAGTTTCATACATTAAACGTATGCCTCTTCATACTAAAAACGCATGGTTTTTCTCTCCGTGTAAATGTGAAAAAAGAAATTATTACCTGGGTCCTCAGAGTTAATCCTCATTAACAAAGGTTCTATTGTCCAATGGTTGCTTCTTTTGTGGTATTTGTTCCGGGGTTTTAATACAGGTATAAATACGTATATATGTTATTTATAATGAACTACTGATTACTCATATAAGAGTGTCCTTTTTGCACTTATTGGCTGATCAGTAGTTACTGATTCATAGTTACTCATAGTACTCTCATTCTTTTGGATATTTGGTAGTTTTATTGGATAAAAGGCAAAATTAATTATATTGGATTAAAGTAAAAATTGGTTATATTGAATTAAAGGAAAAATTAGTTATATTTAGTAAAAGGTAAAATTAGTTGTATTGAATTAAAGAAAAAATTGGTTATATTTAATAAAAGACAAAATTGGTTATATTAGAGAAAGTGAGCAAAACGGTTAAAGATATTTAGATTTTCATGAATCAAAAATAAAATTAAACAAAGTATAATATGGCCAACATAAAAGAGTATGTTATTTTAAGTGATAAAGATTTAAAAATTATTGAAAATAGAAATAAATTGTTAAATTACATGCATATGTACAAATTTGAAGATTTATTAAGAAAAGATTCCAATTCTTTTTTTAATATGCAAAGTGCTTTGTATGTACAAATGCTTGATTTTATTGTCCCAATTAGAGACGGTGATAAACATATTTAAATACTTTTTAGCGGTAATAACAATTATGGTCACTGAATTTATGTCTATTACTATAGAGTAAGGCTTTATATTTTTGATAGCCTTAATAAGGGGTGTTTAAAATATTTAATTATATTGTTCCCTTTTAAACCAACAGTAGTTTTTGAAGCTGTTGATCAACAACCTTTTGGTAGTGTTGAGTGTGGAGTACATGCAATAGCATTTGCAACATCTATATTATTTAACGTAATGCCAAACCATGTAAATTATGAAACTGATAATAACAAAATGAGAAACCATTTTAAGTCAATGTTTGAAAATAATTGCTTAAATCATTTTCTGACAGTAAGAACGTCTCACAATAGGAATTCGATAATAGAGAATGATTAGAACCGTCTTTTCATAAATTGAACTCAGGAACATAAAAATTATATTTTAAACTATTGTTCTGTTTTTAATACTTTTCCCAGTAATAATATTAACAGAGTTCTATTAACACAAGAGTTAAAAATTAAACATTCTTTAAATGACACTAGTGAAAAGAAAATAATTCGTACAACTTATAATACTCTGAACAAAATTTTACCACATGAATATTTAACAATGAAAACTTTTCTGAGTAAAGAAAATGATAAAAAGATAAATTGAGCAATTAAAGAGAAGGGAAGAAAAAGGAAGGCAAGGCGCGAAGTTACATATGAGCAGTAAATAATAAGACAGGAGAATGAGAGATTGAGAAAACGTAATCGTAATAAAACAGAAATAAAAAAGAAAGAGCGCAAAAAAAATTTGACATGCAAAAAAAAGAAATTATCTATAAAAACTGAAGATGGAAAGAAAATACGCAAGGATAAAAATTTGGCATGTAGGAAAAGAAAAATATCAATGGAAACTCAAGATGAAAAGAAAGTGCGTCAAGAAAATAATTTGTCATGTAAGAAGAAAAAATTTTCTACGGCAACGGAAGATGAAAAGAATGTGTGAAGAAAAGAATTTGACATATAAAAACGATAATCGGAATAAAAAAGTGCAGGAGTTGCAATAATGTCTTTTGAAGATTTAGATTAAAGTAAAGTACCACAGAATTATTTAGGTTTAATAAATGTAGAATGTAAGTTTTGTAACGCGTTACATTTTTTGTGTGAAAGACCGTAACATAGATACATCACGGAGGAATGTCCCCGTGAAAAGGACATTATGATATCGCCTGAATGTCACAAAAATATTCCCGGTTGATATCAGCTTGACATTCAAGGAATATTCCGTGCTACTTGGGTGGTAGATCCAATATAAAGAAATTTTTTTTTACATTTCTAATATTAAATTTTGAAAAAAAATGAATAAAAAATATGGTTAATGCACACTAGCAACGTAGTCGGCCGCTTGCGGACGACAAAGTTGCTAGTTATTTATAATCGTTATTGATAATTAGTGTAAATTTAAAATTACTTGTAGCATAATTGAATTCATTTCAATGTATTATAAATTAAAAAATTAATGTATGCAAACTTCATTGTGTCTAAATTTTTATTTATCAAGTTGCAACTAATCCAAATTTCAGTTATTCCTAATTTTTATTGGTAAAAATGGTGGAAATTCAAATAAAGTTAATGAAATTTTTAATTAATTTTAATTTTCATTAATTAAAAATTGAATCAATTTTGAAACTCAATCCACAAGAGCCTCATAAATCTTCCAATTTCAATTGATTTAAACTTGAAATCATACTAATTATAATAGATGCAACAGTTGTTTTATGTACATTTATCAATTTCTTTTTTGTGGAATTTTTTGTCCCCTACTTTCGAAAATGTTTTAATCTTTACACCTACTTTGTTATTATTTTTAGCTAAGAAACAAAAACAAGATGAACCTGATTGGCTGGAGGAAGCGATCCTGGAGCTGTCCACTGCTAAAATTACCCCTAAAGCCTGGAAAGAACGAAAGTTGCTTACTTCTGAGGAACTTCGGGTTATGTGGTTGGCTAAAGAAGTCAGCAACTTTCCTAATAAAAAAGACAGGATTGAAATTCAAAAACACATAACAACTTTCATTTTAGATAAGCGTTTAGAAGGCAACTTTGAAGAGGACATTTAATTTAACTTTTCCGACTTGTGATGTTATTTAGTGCACAGTTCTTGAACCTTTGTATGTTTTTAAATTTTATATACAATATTGAGGTGTGTCATATTTTGTGTATAACGTATTTAACGTATTATTTATAATTTTTTTCTTGTAAGTACATTTTTACAAAACAAATGTTAAATATTTATTAATAATATTAAATATAAATGAAGGGTAGAATGACAAAAGGGGTCAAGCGCCAATTTATCGAAAATGAGGTTTTTGCATAAAAAAATCAAGAAAATTCATTTACACATTTCTGTAGAAGGATTTCCTTTTTTATTGCGTATTTAAATCAGTTTTTAATAAAAATTAAATTAATAAAATAGCCTCAAATTTACTTTATTGCAACCTGATTGAAAAACAAAAGAAAGTGATGAGTCAATAATAATATCAAAATAAAAAAAAATATTATTTTTTTAGGTTTTATTTTAATATTTTATTTTAATAATATTTTAATTAATAAAATTAATAATAATAATAATAATGTATTTTCAATTTTAAACAATTTTAAAATTATTTTGTTATTAATTTTTAAATATTTTTATGGTTATACTAACAAGTAACACTACCCAAGTGCCAATCGCCGATTGACTTGAGTCTTTGCGCATTTTTTAGAGGAGCTAAAAATATTTGATACGTACATTTTTATATCGGCAATGAAGATGTTTTAAGGGTGGAAAACAGGGGTTGAAAAGTCATATTTTGAGTGGCAAAATATACATATCATGATCATTAAAGAAAGTTTAATTAAAATCATTATTTCATTATTTAAAAAATGTTTGACACTTCTTTCTTGATTTCCTAAAAGATACTGCTCGGTAGAAATTACCGTTATAAACCTTTTTGAATGGGGTGAGTGAAACCTTTAACCCTTTAAGAACCAAATATACAAAATTTTTGCATGATTTCACAACCAATTTTTCAAAGTGATTTGAATCGCTTGAAACTTGTTACTCGGGGGTTTTCGGGGTCGCTGATTACGAATTCGATGTCAGTTTTTCAAAATTCAAAATGGCGGATCCAATATGGCGGAAGACATTTTGAAAATCAACTGCAATTTGATTGAAACTTGTTACTCGGGGGTTTTCGGGGTCGCTGATTACGAATTCGATGTCAGTTTTTCAAAATTCAAAAATGGCGGATCCAATATGGCGGAAGACATTTTGAAAATCAACTGCAATTTGATTGAAACTTGTTACTCGGGGGTTTTCGGGGTCGCTGATTACGAATTCGATTAAAAATTGGAAAATTGAAAATGTCGGATTTAATATGGTGGGCGAAAAATTGGGAAAGGGGTGATTAAAATTTCGTAACGAAACTCATGTAGAATAGATAAAAAATAAATTATCTGTGAATTTTTAAGGTTCCTAATTAGGATTCTAAAACCAATTTTCAAAAAAAACTGACATCGAATTCGTAATCAGCAACCCCGAAAACCCCCGAGTAACAAGTTTCAATCAAATTGCAGTTGATTTTCAAAATGTCTTCCGCCATTTTGAATTTTGAGAAACTGACATCGAATTCGTAATCAGCGACCCCGAAAACCCCCGAGTAACAAGTTTCAAGCGATTCAAATCACTTTGAAAAATTGGTTGTGAAATCATGCAAAAATTTTGTATATTTGGTTATTAAAGGGTTAAAGGTTTTACTCACCCCATTCAAAAAGGTTTATAACGGTAATTTCTACCGAGCAGTATCTTTTAGGAAATCAAGAAAGAAGTGTCAAACATTTTTTAAATAATGAAATAATGATTTTAATTAAACTTTCTTTAATGATCATGATATTTATATTTTGCCACTCAAAATATGACTTTTCAACCCCTGTTTTCAACCCTTACAACATCTTCATTGCCGATATAAAAATGTACGTATCAAATATTTTTAGCTCCTCTAAAAAATGCGCAAAGACTCAAGTCAATCGGCGATTGGCACTTGGGTAGTGTTACTTGTAAGTGAACAATTGAATTTAAAGATGAAAGTATTGCTCAATTCCAAAGCAAGCAATTAATTCGTAATTTTCTTGAAAACAAACAATTTTTTAAAGGAATTTTTTTTTCTATTCATTTCGTCGATTCCATAGAAAGAAACTAATTTTCCAGTTTTTCTTTAAACTGTATATTTTTTTTATAATTAATGCTTAAAGAAAATGTGCGCAGTTGATATAACCTCAAGGAACCACAGTTTTTTTTAATTTTATCGTTAATATGTAGGTTTATTTCAACAAATTGTTGTTTATTTATTAAAACATACTAATATATCGAAACGGGTTTCTCAGTTTTTTTTAAATGACCTGCAAAATTTTTAAAAATGTTTTTTTTACTTCCTGTAAAAACAGTGAATTGGCGCTTGACACCTTTTGTCATTCTACCCTTCAAATATAATAAATATAATTTATTTATATTTATTCATATTTATTTATATTTATTTATATTTCATTATAAATAAAATAGAAATATAAATAATGTTAAATATTTATTAATATTTTAACAATTTGTTTAAACGAAAGACTATATATTTTGAAAAGTAAGCAACAACTCTGATACAGAAGTTGTGAAATGTGATATAGCGTAATTTTATATTTTGCAATATTACAGTTTAAAATATTTTTGTTAATTTTTCTTTTTAAGATATAGTTGTAATAAAAGCCAGTGTTTGTAAATTTTGTACCCATATATATTTATAAACTGTTTAATATGTTAAACAAGATGGGGGTCCCTTTTTATAAAAGAAGTTTATGTTCATTTCATGAACATTTTGCTTCCTCATTGCGCAAAGCAAAAGATTTGCTTCCTCTTGGAGGAAGCAATAAATTAATAATTTATATACATATTATTTTTAAAATATGATAAATGATTTCAAAAATTATATCTTTTTCCACCTTTTCCACTCTTTCAACCGTTTTATTGCTGTTATCAACTGATTCCGGTATAATCGCTTTTTCCGTTACAGCAGATTCCGGTTCAATCTTTTTAGTTTGAATTTGTTGAATTTGTTTATAAAAGAAATTTGTTATAAATTCAAACACTGAAAAATTCAATTATTTATTGTAGATAATAATAATGTAATAATAAATGTAATGTTTTATTTTATTTACCCATGTTTTATTTTCAACAAAAATCCTTTTGAAAAATCTTGACCCTAATTTTTTAATAAACAAGAAGTAATACAATTTAATTTTGAAAAAAATATATAGAAGATAAAAAAAAACAATCGGTTTGTCAACGTATAATCATTTAACCTTTTCTGCACATTGTAAATGGCAAATATGCTTTATTTATAAAAATTAAAAAATAGTAATAAAAAATAAAATAATAATAATATTATAAAATCAAATTATATTACTATTAAAAAATTCGGCTCAGGATTTTTCAACAGGATTTTTCTTGAAAATAAAACATGGGTAAATAAAATAAAACATTACATTTGAAGCAATATTAAATTTCTGTTTATAATTTTTATTTTTTTATTTCTGAATATTTAATTTTTGAATAAAGGTTTTTTATTATTATCTACAATAAATAATTGAATTTTTCAGTGTTTGAATTTATAACAAATTTTTTATATAAACAAATTCAACAAATTCAAACTAAAACGATTGAACCGGAATCTGCTGTAACGGAAAAAGCGAATATACCAGAATCAGTCGATAACAGCAATAAAACGGTTGAAAGAGTGGAAAAGGTGGAAAAAGAGGAAAAAGATGTAGAGAAAGGAAAAAATGCCGAACGAAATTTAAGAAGGAGAATGAAGGAAAAAGAAAATAAGAGGTATAAATAAAATAAATAAATAACAATAAATATAAAAAAAATAAATATTTGATAACTGGAAAAATTTTCAAAATTATTTAATATTGGTTTTTAAAAAAATAAATTTTTACAATAAATTTTGTCTTTTAAATTGTTTAATTAAAAATTTTGTAATTTTTTATTTTCAGAGATTTGGAAATATTGAAAAAAAAAATTGGCAAGGTCAGGGAAATCGGTACATGTCACGGAGATACACACCATACCCACCACAAACACTCTATCAAGCACGCAAATCATACCCACGACAAACATTCTATCAACCACGCACATCATACCCACGACAAAAATTCTATCAAACACGCACACCATACCAATCACAATCATTCTATCAACCACCCACTCCATACCCATCAAATACGCACTGTGCACCATACCCATCAAATACACACTGTGCAAGACACACATGTGCACCACAAACATGTGGAACGCACACAGCATGCTCATCACAAACAGCATGCTCATCACACACACAATTCTCACCTCATGTGCAATGTTCAGAACATACAACATGCACTCAACAAACACCATTTATGCAACAATCGTGCTCACGTCGCTTTTAAATTGATTTTTTTTTAATTGAAAAACATTTAATTATGTTTTAGTTAGATTATAATTTTTAATTTATTCTTGTTTCACCGCATATTTTAAGTCTCGAATCCCATGTTGTTTCGTATTTTGAATTTTATTTCTCTTGATATCCATTCTCTTCTTGACTCGTAGAACAAAAGTAATTAAGAGCATTTGAACCTTCGTGACGTCACAAATCATGGCGCATGACACGCAAACTTCTCAGGTATGTGAAAAAGACAATTTTGAATATTTTTTAAAAAAACCTTTTGGAAAATGTTCAGAATAACATAGACTCTGTCTGTTATGTGCGGAAAATTCAAAATTTTGCGTTTAAAACGTTTTTTAAACAATGTTAAGGTCACAAATTATGGCGCATGACACGCAAACTTCTCAGGTATGTGAAAAGCACAATTTTGAATATTTTTTAAAAAAACCTTTTGGAAAATATTCAGAATAACACAGACTCTGTCTGTTATGTGCGAAAAATTCAAAATTTTGCGTTTAAAACGTTTTTTAAACAATGCCTACATATAAGCAATTCGTGTATTTTTCCTTACTTGTGACAACCAAC